TTCCATTAATGGAATAGGTGCTGAGAACATATGAACATACCGATAGACTCAATGAAGCTCAATTTCATTTCTATTAAACAATTACGTTATTGTAAATTGGAACAGTCCCCTTACCATCTTTACTTACTTGATACTCAATCAAATTGACTAATATGTTTTTTTTTTTAATAAAAGGTTGGCAAAGATTAACTTCCGTTATAATTTGTCGGTTTGTCAAGTTATATTTTATACCATTTTGCTTACCTTTCGACATTTTATTCCATTTTCAGACATAATTTTTTCATTCAAATTCAAATTCTGAAATACATGCATAATTATAAGAACATGTTACTATTAGTTAGTTTTATTAAATTTTGTAAATATATTTACCTTACCAAATTGACACGTGTGTTTCATTTGTCATATAACTGATGACAATTTTTTTATACTTTTTATCTGGGGCTAAACATTACTTAACTAACAATTGGTCTGCTTAACAGGATTAAAATTTATCGTTGTACTTTGTAACTATTGTTTGTTTTATTTTTTTTTTTTTTTATCTTTTTCAATTGAGTTTCATAAAATCATTACTTTCTGACGATAAAAATAGAGTTAAAGAAACGAATAAGTATAACACCCTAATCCATATTTTAGGATAAACGCTTACATGGTTTGAAATACTAATCGAACAAGACTTGAATATTTTTAAAAATTGTTAGAAATAAGACGTGTGTATATTATTGCCTCTCTTGTTATCAATATTTTTTCTGGTTGTTAGATTATAAATTCATTTCATGCAGGGCGTGCACAAGAAGTCAGATTTTCTTTTAAATTACCATTATTTTACATAAGGTGAGATATTCTTTGACGAACTATCTTAAAAAAATTGTTGGCATCCACGATTTCCGTCTGATTCGGCGAACTTTTTTAATTACGCAGTGTTGCATGTATCCTGTTAATTATACATTTTTTGAAGGTCTCTTGATGTCGAAGGTATATTTATCCTTTTTTTTCCTCATGTGCGTGAAAAGTTTAGTTATTATCATACTCAACTCCTACATTAATTGTGGGTGATGTCTGATTTCCATGATTAGACCATCATTTTATTTTATCAAGTGCTTTCACAAACACTTGAATTATAAAAAACTATTATTGTTGAAATGATAATTAAGGCTTATTTTTTGGACGTAGAAAAAAAAATCAGTTATTAGAGGCGTACGGTCATTCACATTCCATATGATCTTTATATCCTCTTTGCCTCTTATAGCTCTGATTTTTCCTCAAAACATTTGAGATTCACATGACTTATATTTACACTTATATTTTGTTCACTATTCGTATATTTTGTTTTTCAGTTCGCCTAGGTACCTTAAAGTAATTTACAAAGCGCAATTAATTTGCAGTGGTATGCAAATAGGTAGAATAAACAGAGAAAAACAAATCGCAGACGCTCTCGCGAAGTTCTAAGATATTATAGCAGTCTTACCAGAAGCGTGGTGTCATATTTATTCACTAAAATCTAAGCCGTTGCCATGAGAGTCCTTAAAGACTCATACATCAACTATAGTAATTGGTTTAGACTACTGCTTCGTTTATTACCTGTGATATTCACTAGTTATTTTAATATTCAATGCCATTTGAAGGTGCGCGGTAGCGCATCTAGCAAATTTGATGTACTGATTCGCTGCGAATTTGCGTTAATTTTGTTTTAGTTAAAGAAATAAGTCCCTAGGTAATTTTCGTTTTAGTCTTCGTCCAGCAGGTAACAGGGAGGAGGAAATTTTAAGAACTAGTGAATTGATATGATTTTGGGTTGAAGAATGAAATGTACTATATTTGTCGTGGATGTAGGACTTTACTGTTTGTGTTTTTAAGTCTTTATGTGTAGTGTTATTTGAAATATATTAAGGTGCGTTAACAATGTTTGTCTTGCCGTACCCCAAAGTTCTGCTCCATATGTCCAAATTGGTCTCAGTATACCGCTGTAGATCAGACAACTTTTACTATTCACAAGTTAACTGAGGATCTGTAGTCCAGAAGATATTAGATTTGGTTATCATCTAGTCAGTTCTTGTCTTTCTAATTTCGTATTTATTTTCGAAGTAAGTTTTTTGTCTAGGTAGAGTCCGAGGTATCGATTTATTTAGTATTAAATTTTAAACTGGCAATTGTTGGCCATGATTATTTCTGTATCTTTTTATTTATTGATTATTCGTGAGGTTTTTAAAATGTCAAGCAATTTATATTTTTTTATTATGTCTTTCATCGACGCAGATACTAATGTATTTAAATACATCAACATTTTATAATCAATATGTTTCTCGGATTTAAACATCCAAGATATAACGTTAGGATGATTTTGATGCCACAATCGATATTTCAAACTGATGAAGTTGTAAATACATTTGATAAACTATGTATTTTTAACCAAATAAATTATATATGTGCTGCGGCTTTCATGTATTTTAGAAACATTGATGTTGGGGCATCCAATCCTCAAATAGCACCTATATGATGTCTGATTCTCATGATTAGACCATCATTTTATTTTATAAAGTGCTTTTCACTAACGCTTGAATTATAAAAAAAATATTATTATTTAAATAATAATTTAGACTTATTTTTGACGTAGAAAAAAAAAAAAAACAGTGATTAGAGATCTACGGTCTTTCGTGTTCCGTATGATGTATCTATCCTCTTTGCTTCTTATAGCTTTGATTGTTTCACCAAATTAACAAAGCCTTGGTCGCAAAACATTTGAGGTCCACATGACAAAAATGAAATAATGTGATGAATCTATTCACTTGAAATATTTGTTGGTATGTTTTGTTCTTCAGTTCGCCTACATACCTTAAAATAATTTACAAAGAGCAATTAATTTACAGTAGTAAGCTCATAAAGAGAATAAACAGAGTCAAATAAATCGCAGAAGCTATTGTTAAGTTCTAAGATATTATAGCAGTTTGACCAGAAGCATGCTTTCATATTTATTCACTAAAAACTAAACTCATCAGACTTATCATTAAGCCTGTTCAGTAAGCCACTACGGCTACTGCGTCGTATATTACCTGTGATATTCATTGATTATTTCCTCTTTTTCTGTTATTTTAATATTAACGCTATTTTCACTTGCGCTGTAAAGCATCTAGCAAATTTGATGTACTGATTCGCTGCGATTTTTTTTATTATTGGAGAAGTAGGTCTCTTAGCCATTTTCGTTTCAGTCTCCGTCGAGTTGGTAATAGAGAGGAGGAAATTGAAAGAATTAGTGGATTGATACGATTTTGGGTTGAAGAATGAAATGTAGTGTATTTGTCGTGGATGTAGGATTTTACTGTTTGGGTGTTTAAGTCTTTATGTGTATTGTTATTTCGGTATATTAACACCTCATCTATTTGGCAGTTGTTGTCGGCCTACTGTCTTACTCGGTTTCAGTTCAGACAGCAATAACGAGAATCATCGATAGTACTGGCAATGAATAGATTACTACGGCCATCGCCAGCCATGTCACCTTACATAAGAAAGCGTTATTAAACATTCTCCCTATTACGCTATGCCTTATTCATGACTGATCTATTGTAGATGTCCGTACGTCCACATACGTCTGTACAGATCACATTATCAGGACAGTGGTGGATTTCCCACACCGAAGCGTGTCCTGGGCGAGAAAGGAGAAGTGGGGAGCTATCATTACTACGGACCAGTTCCCCTGCCTGATTCGATCTGCACATTTCTCAATACGATATGTCACTCTTCCGTTCATGGTAAAAAAATCCCGTAGCCGGGTCACAAAGAGATCTACCTTTGTGGGGCAGCGACTGGCCACAAAGACCATTCACACACCATGCTCTCTGGCTGACCCTTCCAAGGAAAATATATTTTCGAAAAGGTGTCAGGGTGATAATAGAATGCATCCCGATGTGCCTGTTGAAAGGCGTTTATGCGCTCACGTACAGCCTGAGCGGCTATCAATGAGCAATGAGAAATTATAATGGCGCCAGTGTGGTGTCACCTCTCGTCGCATGTGACACGCATGTAGAAGCTTGTAATATTCTGTAATGGCTTGCTAAGGTTTTCTCTCTTTCACAAAATATGGAAAGGTTTCAAAATCTAAAATTAATTCATTAATAAAAAGACTAAACATTTTCTGGATGGTCTGAAATTTGTTCATCTCTGTGTATTTGGGGCACAACATGTGTCCTAACCATCCAAGATTTTATAATGAGTTTACGTGTTAATACAATTTGTAATAAAACATATGAGGATCTAGAGAAAATGGTAAAGAATAGGGTTGATAATACACAAAAAAATAATTTTGAAAAGGAAATAAGTATTCATTCCAATAAATTACGTAGCTAAACACTTTCATGATTTATAATGTCTTAAAAAAAATAAATGAACAAAAAATGTGAACAATTTCTATTTTTCTATCACTATATGCTTCACTAAATTCAGTAGTGAATCCAGAATTTAATGTTAGGGTCTTAGTTTTTCGTTTATTTTATTTTTTTATATTTTTTTAATAGCGGCATTTAATTAGGGTTAATAAGAAAGAAATCATATAAATTAATGTTTAAGTGGTTTTTGAAGGCCTGTAAGAAAAAAAAAATAAACAGAAACAATAATGGGTTTGAGGGATACATTTCTGATATATTTTTTCTTGACACTTACTTACTTATAAGAACTGAAATATGTGCATTATAATTTAAAAAGAGTTCATATTTTGATTTTAAACTACTAAAAAAAAAAAAGTTTAAATATTTAGCTTAGATCTCCCACAGAAACAAATAAAATGGAATATATATATATATATATATATATATTTCTAATTTGTATTTCAGGCCTAAAGCCCCTCCCCCCCCCCCACCCCTCTTCCCATCACCTCTGAATCTATGTACATACTAAGTCTACGTTAGTAAGATTAGACATTTCAGAATCCACTCTAAAATTAGTTAGAAATCTAAACCAAAGTTTATGTTTTATTTTTACTTTTTTTTATTTATATTGTTTACTTTTTGCAGATCGACCAATGTGGAAGGCTATGGGTCCTAGACTCGGGAATGGTAGATATATTCGAAAAAGAGCCAAGAATGATATGTCCTCCTCAAATTCTAGTCTTCAATCTCAACACCGATAAATTAATAGGTAAGTGTCAATATATATATACATATATATATTTCGAGGTGGGTAGCCGAGCGTGCTAACAGGTGCCCGGTAACCTGATAAACTGAAGATTACAAATTCTGGTACCGAGGGACTTTTAACGCTGGTACTTTTCCCATGAATCAGTTTTATCCTCTTCCTTTCCTTGGTCCGGAAAAAAAAAAACAGTACAGCCGTAAAGGCAAAGCAGAGAAGTGAAAGGCAAAATATAAAATCAAATACCAAAATACTTTTATTTTTTGGAAATCATTTTAAATATATAACTTTTTAAGATATTTTGATTATTTTATTTTAATACTAATATGTCCAAAATCTGTTATACTATGCCAATTATTAGTTGTGTTAATTAATTGATATTAGAAAATTATTTTATTGGACAATTTAATTATATAGGGATTAATTAAGACATGTGCATTATATATGTTATTTATTTATCTTAATTTTTCTTCCTCTCTATCAAAGTTAGGAAAGCTTCATATTCGTGGACGAGGAAAAAAAAAAAACTGCTTCGAAAATTTTCTTGGCATTTTACCGACATGTATCATACGTTCCGAAATAGACATTTTATTTTTTGTATGCCAGGCATCAAACAGCAAATTCGTTTCCGTTTCTGTCTGTGAGTAATCTACGTGATGCTCGTGATAGAGTCAAGTATGTCACTTAGCTCACTATTGTTAACATGTTTTTCTTGAAATTTTTGCAGATCATATGTGTTATTACTTAGATGAGTCCATATTGATTTCATCAAACTCCAGTCTCTATATTTGCAAAGACGCGGACGCATAACTGTATAAATTACTTTTTTAATTAATATATTTCCATCTTCTACTACCTCTAAAGTAATCACAAAAGCATTTTCATTCATACCACTCTATCTCAACGAAATTACTCTAAGTCAAAGAATATAAGAAAGAACAAGAAGGACGACTATTAGAAATAATCTGGGAAAAAAACTGTTCGAAAGTATAATAGAACAGAACCGGCTAAGGTGTTTTGGCCAAGTTAAAAGAATGCAGGAGGGAAGCATGCTAAAACCACTTATGAGACGCGATTAGAGGGATTTTTTTTTTTTTTTTAACTTTTATTGAGTATTAATACAGGTATTGGTACTGGGGCTACAGTATTCATTCACACAATATGTACCTAAGAAAGGAAAAAAAAAAAAATATATATATAAATAAATAAAAAGATAAAGTAATATACAAGATAATTAAAACAAAAGATCAGCCGAAAAATAACAAAACAAATAAAACACATTCACACCTATGTACAATATATACATTGGCCCAGGGGAATCCGAATAAAGCTTTGTCCCCCAACTGTGGAAGCCAAAGCAGGACTCCAGGAGATAGAGGGAAATAGGTTAAGAGGAAGACCCAGATGCATTTGGCAGGAATAGTCCCGGAGGCATTCAATAGGAGAAGAATGATTATTTAAAAAAAAAATCTTCATTTCCAATTTTTGAATCTTCGTATGGTTACATTTTATCTAATATCTTTTGAAATTCTGACATCTTCATCGGACAAAATACTAAATCGTCGGACACCAAAAAGATGCTCTAGCAATATAATGCTGTAGCGTTAATCTAAAAACAAAACAAAATTAATTAAGTCTTAACAGAAGGCAAAACCATGAATTTACACAAATATAATATTTAACAAATTAACAATATAATATTTTAAATAATTGGTTGAACAGTCATATTTGGTTAAGTTACTTCAAATAGGCAGTCTTGCACGTACAAAGATTTTTTTTCTTCCCTTCCTGGTCTTTTTGGGCTATACGGGGTTTTATCAGGCCAGGGTTGAGGGCGCGGAATTAATGTCAGACTTAAAAAACCTCACCGGCACCGGGACTTGAATTCGTAATTATTTTATAAAATCGTATTCTATCATTTGTTGCCGGGTTTTGGGGGCTTAGCACGCTCGGTTGGCCCGTCCCTAAACATTAGTGCCCCTTGAGGAGATCGACACCGCGATCTTCACGTTATTGGCACGATACTCTAGCCAACTGAGCTAATGGGTCAGTTGCGTGGACCAGTGTATAAAGTTGTGGACCTGTGCATCACACAAGTTCTTTTTCAATTTCTTTTTCCACTTTTTATTTAGTGCTCCTTTTAAATAAATTTTCGAATTTATTTAGCTTGAAGGCACATCTAGAGGTGTATATAAACTGTAAAAATACAAAAAAAAAAAAAAAAAAAATATATATATATATATATATATATATATATATATATATATATATATATATATATATATATATACATATATATTTATTTAACCTCACCTTAGCAATAAATGTACAGCAAATTAGCAGTGAATGATTAATGATTTCCTGAAATACGAAATTATCTATTAAAATAATAAACTACAAAATGTTTTTCTGTCCCATTTCTTATATACATTTTCAAGGGGAATGTTCCAAGTAACAAGATCTAAAGACAATTTAAGCTGCTGAAACTTAAATGGTTCTCCTTTTTTTCACTTACCCACCGATTTTATTTTCAAAATAGCGTTTTCGCACTTTTTTTTCGCTCCCTCCGAAAGAGATACTTAGTATAGTCGTTCTTCTATCATGAAAATTAAGACAAGAATTTTACGCTGATTAAAAAGTTGTGTAATCATCTCGAAGGGTCTTCCATTCCAAGCTTCCACATTTACTCAAAAGAGATACTTTTCTCTAATCTAAAATTTATTATATGATACCGTTTTATAGCGCCTTCAATCGCCACAAATACAATACCGCACTGTGTGGTTAATTTTTCAATTCAAAATTGTAATGTGCTTTCTTGTTTTTCCAATAATATTGTATAGGTTAAGTAGGTTATTGTAAGTGGTAGGTTTTGGTTTTATGTTTAATTTAACAGAATAATAAAAACTTATTGATTGACCTTTCAATCATTAAATCTTCAATCACATTGAATTGATCAACAACTAGGAAATGTATCTATAAACAAATGTGTAAAGGCTTAAAAGAATCAATATTATAATACTTTTGTGATGGTGGATTTTTATACATCTTAAACTTTAGGAATGCGTATAGTTTTTCCTTTCATGGTGTTTTAATCCATAGATATTCAATTCTCAATATCCATTGTGTCTAGAGAGAAAATTGATATATTATGTGGCCATGAAGCCGATTAAGTAACTGGACAAAGTAAGTTAAGTCTCCCACAAAGAGACTTCCATTGTAGGTGCTGACAGTAGCGGCATTTCTGTAACCGCTAAAAGAGTCGACACGAAGAAGCACTTTACAAAGTTTCGCAAAAGAGAAAACGGATGCATGACAGCAGAGATAACATTTTAAGGGACGGAGTGGGTTTTTGCCCTGCTCTTTACGGTTACAGACATTTGTTTTCTTAGATTATTTACAAATTGTGTCAAGGTGCGATGAATGAATTATACTTAAATAAAAAAATAAGGGTTTCTGATGAAAAGTAAAATTTTAAATTCAACTAAAAAAAAAATACAGTTTTGGTTTATTCTTAACATTAAAATTGTCTAACGTACGTTTCAGACACCTCTTCCCGACTTGGGAATATAATCCGAACGCTATGGTCCACGCGCCTTCTAACTAAGGATGCTGGGCATACTTAAGATCAAAATATATTTATTATAGTTTTTTTAATACATTAGCTTGATATATCTCAACTATAGTTCAGAGACTGGAAACGAGTATTGCGGGTAAGAAAAGATTATTTGAATTGAAGGAGCTCAGAGATGTATAAAGGACAGTGGGATTGGATGACTTGAAAGAGGAAGGATGCCAGGAAATATTTACGACGGTAGGAAGGATCACCACTTCAACTCTGCCTACAAATGGGAAACAGAGGCGCCCCTTGGGATCCCGAAGATGAATCGTACAGAGCAATTTATTAAACGTTTTAGTTTCGCCTCGAGAACCCCAGAGATGTCCCCCTATATCTAACAGCAATAGTCAAATTGGGTGAAAATTAAGGAAGTGACTAGGAGCCTAAGGGTTTCAAATGGAAATAGGTGACGAGAATAATTTTAATAAAGGGGAAAAACCTGGCGGTTGAGCGTGATCTCGACCCAATCATCTCTCTGCACAACCGTTAGCCTCCTTGCAACAGTTCTTCCACACATAGTTCTGAACCCAAGACGCTTCATGGATGGTATAGGTATAGGAATAGTTTTTTTTTAAAGTTTAAATCATTTTATCATTAAAAAGTTTGGACGAATTGCAATTAAAATTTACCGAATGAAATTGTGTTGACTGAAACTGACCCAGCCTACATGGATCACTGAACCATAACGTCGTTACGTGACAAACTTTTCACCTTAGCAAATTAGCTGTCATAATGGAGTAGCATTAAAAAATTATCCGTATAATTACTAGTGTACAATATTCCTATCTTAGCTAGATTATTTAGATCTGTCAAACTTGACAGACGGGATTAAATAAGATGTAATATAAAATCGTTCATCAATGAGGTCACATCCCTATTTTCTTCAGTATTCTCGATGTGCAGGCAGCGGCTATGTCCTTTATTGGTCTGAATGCCACTATTAATTTTTTTTATATCATATTTAATCAAATAATTTAGTATGATCGGTTTGTTATAAGTCAGGATTAACAACTGTCTGTGGTTTAGATTATCCAGTTGTTTCAAGTACCTGTTTTTTTCAATATATGTATAGACATATCGTTGTGAAAACATGTTTTTTTTTTTTTATTTCTTCATGATATTTACAACTGTATAAAAAAAAAAAAAAATCCAGTAAAAGTGCACTCAGAAACATAATAACATAAAATCGCTTGTAGAGAAACCACACATTGTTATTACTCAAATAATAAATTTACACAAGAAGATCACGAGGCCACCTTCTTTTCAAACGCCTCGGAGGGTTATCAGGGATCGAGAAGGAAGCAAGGTTTGAAATGAGATGGTTCGGATGGTTCTGAAGTTTGTTATGGAAGGATAGGTATTCGGATTGGGCCAAATAAACATATGCAAC